CACTCACTAGAAGATGTTTCATGCCTAATATCTATACTCTAGCTATTTGGGTTTTTTCAAACAAGATTTTAAGTTTTTGCTATACAAATATAAGGAAAATCAATGACCCCCTAGGGCGGGGCCAATTTTGACCCCAGGGCTTTTATTTGAACAAACTTGGTAGACACCTATTAGAACATGTTTGATGCTAAATATCTTAGCTCTAGCTCTTTGAGTTCTTTAAAAGAAGATTTTTTAAGTTTTTACTATATGCATATAGGGAAAATCAATGACCCCCTGGAGCGGGGCCAATTTTGACCCCAGGGCTTTTATTTGAACAAACTTGGTAGACACCCATAAGAAGATGTTTCATGCTAAACATCTAAGCTCTAGCTCATTGGGCTTTTTAAAAGAGATTTTTTTAAGTTTTACTATACACATATAGTTAGAAACAATGACACCCCTGGGGCGGGGCCAGTTTTGACCCCAGGGCTTTTATTTGAACAAACTTTGTAGACACTCACTAGAAGATGTTTCATGCTTAATATCTTAACTCTAGCTATTTGGGTTTTTTCAAAGACGATTTTAAGTTTTTGCTATACAAATATAAGGAAAATCAATGACCCCCTAGGGCGGGGCCAATTTTGACCCCAGGGCTTTTATTTGAACAAACTTGGTAGACACCTATTAGAACATGTTTGATGCTAAATATCTTAGCTCTAGCTCTTTGAGATCTTTAAAAGAAGATTTTTTAAGTTTTTACTACATGTATATGCATATTGGGAAAATCAATGACCCCCTGGAACGGGGCCAATTTTGACCCCAGGGCTTTTATTTGAACAAACTTGGTAGACACCCATAAGAAGATGTTTCATGCTAAACATCTAAGCTCTAGCTCATTGGGCTTTTTAAAAGAAGATTTTTTTAAGTTTTACTATACACATATAGTTAAAAACAATGACACCCCTGGGGCGGGGCCAGTCTTGACCCCAGGGCTTTTATTTGAACAAACTTTGTAGACACTCACTAGAACATGTTTCATGCTTAATATCTAAACTCTAGCTATTTGGGTTTTTTCAAAGAAGATTTTAAGATTTTGCTATACACATATAAAGAAAATCAATGACCCCCGGGGCGGGGCCAATTTTGACCCCAGGGCTTTTATTTGAACAAACTTGGTAGACACCTATTAGAACATGTTTGATGCTAAATATCTTAGCTCTAGCTCTTTGAGTTCTTTAAAAGAAGATTTTTTAAGTTTTTACTATATGCATATAGGGAAAATCAATGACCCCCTGGGGCGGGGCCAATTTTGACCCCAGGGCTTTTATTTGAACAAACTTGGTAGACACTCACTAGAAGATGTTTCATGCCAAATATCTAAGCTCTAGCTCTTAGGGTTTTTTAAAAGAAGATATTTAAAGTTTTTTCTTTCGGTTGCCATGGCAACCAGAGTTCTGCATGGAATTAAATTCTTTGAACAATTTTTAAAGGTGACCACTAAAGGAACATTCCTGTGAAGTTTGGATGAAATTGGCCAAGCGGTTTATGAGGAGATGTCATTTAAAGTAAAAGTTTACGGACGACGGACGACGGACGGACGTCGGACGGACGCCGGACGAAAAGCGATCACAAAAGCTCACCCTGTCACTTTGTGACAGGTGAGCTAAAAATGGCCAATGTTAATTGTTCTGGACAGTAAGGCTGACTGACTGTACAGTATAGCAATAGGTAATATTTTTTTATCTAAAATGGGTAAGACAAATATAATGATTTCTTAATGGAAAGAACCAAACACATGTTATTTCAGCATATTTATTATACAAATAGGAAACATAAATTGCATTCTGTGTAACCATTAAGGATTTTGTTATACATTGCTTATCACTTAATTTTAGAAAAACCCTAAAATCAAACAACTTTTTAACGTTATGGGTATAATTAAATAGCATAGTATTCCTCACATTAATTATACATTTTTTTTAGATTGGGTTTTACGTCACATCGACACAGTATAGGTCATATAGCGACGTTCCAGCTTTACTGGTGGAGGAAGACCTCAGGTGCCCCTCCGTGCATTAGTTCAGGCACGAACGGGCACCTGAGTAGAACCACCGACGTTCCGTAAGCTATCTGGATAGCTTCCTCACATGAAAGAATCCAAGTCCCAGGCGGGACTCGAACCCACAGCGGTGAGGGGCAAGTGGTTTGAAGTCAACGACCTTAACCACTCGGCCACGGACGAATTATACATACAATGTAGTTGAACTTATCTAAAATCGAATGTAAGTGTTCCTTGATTGTGTTCCTTGGAAACAGTTTTTGTTATTCATAGTGAACTCAACAATATTCGAACAAGATCTGAAACATTTTAGCGAGCAGAGATTAGAAATTTAATTAGAAAAACCATCAATCTATTCACTATTACTGAATATGTGTTTACAAAGTGTTACCAAGATGAACATAAAAATAAAACAAGACTAAATTTCTTTTAACTTTTGATAAAATTATTGCAAACAGTTATGAAAGCAGCCATCTGCTAAAAGAAGTAAATTATTTTCATTAATTCCTATTAGAAGCGCATAGCACATTTCATTTATCATTTGGACCTTAACAGTGCATCAAACAAACACAAATGTATTTGTTAATATGATCATTTTATTTATCCTCAAACAGATATACATATATAAAGTTCATTTCTAACATATACATATGATGCTGTTGTAAACCAAATCATACCATCAATAACAATCTTAAAAATACCAATAAAAAGAATATATTTTTATGAATAACTATGAATGCTTATTACATGTATGGACCTGATGCATACATGTACAAGAATCAATGAAGCCAAATGCATCAAACAAGTATAACACTGTTTCCTTTGGAGCTGCATGCCTAAACATGAGCCAAAATATTTTTATTTTAAAAATCAAACTTGAGAAAAAAATGTACAAAGAAAATTAAAAACAGTTCAAGAGTCAAGTTACAACTACATCTGTCATAAATTACTGATTTTACAGTATTTATCACGTGACTGATGCAGTAAGGGCTATTTTTGAATATTTTGATCTCTTTGTTTTGTAATTTACATGGATTTCAGTGCTGTTTGCAAAGTGAAATTACTTTCTTTGTATACTACGCTATACTTCATAATTACATACATTTTCAAATTTTCATAAATATGCTCTATAACATCTTTACTTTCAACTACATAGTGGTGAATAAAATACAATTGGAAAATATTGTTTTCAGGACAAGCTTAAGACATCATGGACCACAAACACAGTTTGAAAAAAAAATATTGACTTCATTCTCTCATTAATATTCTGCTTAACCTAGGAAGACAAGGGCATTCATTTTATTAAAAGTGGGGAATTATTTTATCATATTATGTATATATTATGTTACTGTAACAACAACATGGTTTGTGTGGAACATTTCTAGTGAAAGAAGACCTTAAGACGGAAGGTTATGGTTGTTCGAAGGTGCCTGCCTGTGCCTTCCTTTCATAAAACACAAAGGGGCATTAAGAACAAGCAATTATCATAGTATTGCAAGCAATCCATAAGTCCCCTACCGGTTAGAACCCAATCAACATTCTGAAGGGCCATTGGCCATTCACTAATGTTTCAATTTTTCTACATTTTAAGTAAATTTGTTGGAAAAGTTCTTTAAAAGTGATCACAGGAAACAGCTTTTATGAACAGACAGACAGACGGACTGAATGACACTCTAAAGTTAATATTTGAAACATCCCTGTTAATAAATTTGACATTTTTAAAAGCAAAATTCTTAAAGAGGAGATAACTCTTGAATGCAAAAAAAAATTTCAGCTCTTTTTTACTAATCACAAATATTGTTATATTTGCCATGTTTTATGCCTATTTGTTGCCAAGGCAACCAATATTTTTTTTTAAAATAGGAAGAAAAGATAAGACATGCATAATCTCCAGACTGCCATCTACACATATGTCAAGTTTCATAAAAATATTTTCAGTACTTTTTGAGTTATCACTGGATTTAGTTTATGTGTAACATTTGCCATATTTTCAGTCTATGTGTTGCCATAGCAACCAGAATTTTCAACATAGGAAGAAAAGAAAATTACGTGCATAATCTCCAGACTACCATCTACCCATATTACAAGTTTCATAAAAATATTTCTATTACTTTTTGCGTTAACACTGGATACAGTTTATGTGTAAAATTTGCCATATCTTCAGTCTATTTGTTGCCATAGCAACCAGAATTTTCAACATAGGAAGAAAAGAAAAAGACGTGCATAATCTCCAGACTGCCATCTACCCATATTGAAGTTTCATAAAAATATTTCCAGTACTTTTTGCGTTATCACTGGATCCAGTTTATGTGTAAAATTTGCCATATTTTCAGCCTATTTGTTGCCATAGCAACCAGAATTTTCAACATAGGAAGAAAAGATAAAGACGTGCATAATCTCCATACTGCCATCTATCCATATATCAAGTTTCATAAAAATATTTTCAGTACTTTTCAAGTTATCGCGGGATCCAGTTTTGTGGACGGACGGACTGACGGACTGACAGACAGATGGACAGACGGACAGACAGACGGACGGAGGGTAAACCTAAAGTCCCCTCCGGTAAACAGGTAGGGGACTAAAAATCACTTCCGTGTTGTCATGCGTTGTGTTCCTTTTCTAAAATAAATTTATTAATTTATTTCATGTATCTATTTTTATTCTTATTTTATTTCATTTCCTTTAGGGGACCACAGGTTAGTTTAATGTCTCATCAAACAGTATAGCTCATAAGGCAACAATTCAGCTTCACTGGTAGAGGAAGACAACAGGTGGTTTCCATGCAATATTTCTGGCACAAGCAGGCGCCTAAGTAAAATTACCAACATACCTTTAACTAACTGGAGGGCTTCCTCGCATACAAAAAAATCCAAAATGAACCTAATGCGGTGAGGGGCAAGTAATTTTAAATCAATGACTTTTACCTCAAGGTCACTGACACCTCATCTATTTATTAAAAAAAAAACGATTTTGTTGTAAAGAAAATGTGGACATGTAATGGTTAATGGGGCAAACCATGACAAAAATCTACAAACCTTGCAATACAGTAAATCACTAATCATAATAATACACACATAAAACCTACTGTGAAGCAATTTCTCTTTGTAAAGATACTGTCAGTGTCTTGTCTTACTTTGATACAAAGTCAATACAAGTGTTTTAAAGCTGCACACCTCCAGATGAGCCAAAATATTTCAAGAAAATCAATCTTAAGAAAAAGAAGTGTACTAAGACTTAAGGAAAAGTAAAAAAGATTAAAAAATATATCTACATGTTGTGTGAGATTAGTGACTGATTTTGAAATTTGTCACCATTACTAACACAGAAAGGGCTATTTTTTAAATTTTGATCTCTGTTAATTTATTATAAGTAGATTGTAAGTGTTATGTGCAATATGTAAATTATTTTTCTTTGTTCACAACATGATACATTTACATACATTTTAAATTAGCATGAATCCGGAGGCATCTGAATTCTATCTTGAACATTGTAATATGAAAATCATAAAGAACAATGTTTATTTAACATCATTACAAATGTTTAATATATATTTTATTATATACAGCAATATACAATTTATGTGACATCTACATACATGTACTAGAGCTGTCACAGGACTGAAAAATACCCCCACCTATCTTCTATGTAGAGGATATTATGCATTGAATTCATTAATATTATTGAAAGAAAACATTTCAGCTGAGACTTGAAAAAAATATTTAAAAGGTAAATAATCTATAGTGCAGACACAAAATGTAAAACTTTTGACCTTCAATGGTAAATATGACCTTGGGTATACACAGCAGTGTCATATGTTCTGCACATTGCCTAGTGGAGGATAACATTTGAGAAAAAATTGAAGAAAATCCTTCAACTGGTTTATAAAGTGGACACAAATTGTCTGACCTTTGACCTTCAATGGTGACCTTGAGCTTGTGCAATGGCAGCATAGATTCTGCCCAATTCCTCATTGAGGTAACAGCTGAGCTAAGTTTAAAGAAAATCCTTCAAGGGTATATAATTTATAGAGCAGACATTAAAATGTCCGACTTTTTTACCGATGATGTTTAGGGGTTACACCAACACAGCTGTCACATGGGTTCTGGAAATTGCTCAACATGACGTGTGAACTTGAGCCAAGTTTAAAAAGGTAAAAGATTTATAATGTGGTAACAATGGACCCATGGACTAACGGACCGACCAACTTGCATGATAAAATGATTCCAAAATATGTGGTGGGGGGTATAATGACTTGTATTATGGTCCTGATATTAAACAAAATGTGCAACCAAAATTTATGAAAATTCTGCAAAATTGCAAAGAAAACAAATTATATTAGGATATCATTAGAAATACTCTATCCCTTATCATTCAGAACATACTTAAACTACATAAGCTAAATGCATATCAAAAGTTATTCATTTCTTCTTGCTTACAACTCTTATTGGTTCGGCTACACCTTTAGACAGAAGTCCACCATCTCTACCATTATAAAGTGGTGGCCATACCAAAAAATCAATTGTTTGTCCAGACTGACTGTACACTGTATAGATATTTGTATCAAACTTCTCGCCTTGTTTGACATCCATTTTCATCAACAAAGGAGGGTCATGCAGAGCCATAAGCCAGCAAACCTCGGCACATTTCTGTATATAAGGTGTACATGCTTCTATATGCTTCTTATCAAATTTCTTTTCCTCCCTTTTATCCCACGTTTTAGAGTCTGCAAGAAATGCCTATAACGAAATAAAATTTCAAGAACGTTTAAGCATCTTATCATTCAAATATTGGTTAAAAATCAACAGAAAAGAAAAATAAATTCTGTAGCAGAAATTCTGTAGCAGAAAAACATGGCTACATGATTTTTAACACTAGAGGTAATATAAACTTGCTCATTGTCCACAGTAGGACATGCCAAATGTACATTTTAAAACAGCCCATCATCAAACATCTATCTAAGAGGAAACACAATGACATTTGGAAGTTGATAGCCAACTGGCTGATAGACACTATGTAGTTTCAAAAATTGCAAATGTTATGACAAAAACCTTTCATAAATGTGGAAATATCAATTCAGCATTTTGTACATCTTGTTGGATCTTTTAGACTAACGGACACTGTAAAGGTCATATGGACATTACAGCTTAACTGATGGTTGGAGAACTCATGTGTCCCTTTGTGTGTTATTTCAGGCACCTGAGTAGAACCACTAATCTTCTGTAATCTAGCTGGACATCTTCCTAACAAGAAACAATCCAAAGTCTCCGATGAGACTCCAACCCACAGTATTAAGGGGAAAGTGATTTGAAGTCCGAGTAACCACTTTGCTACGGATGCCAATTTCATATCTTTTAAGGAATACGGGACATTCTAATTATAAGACTTCAACAATTATTTCAATTTATCATTTCAGTCACATATGAAACCTCTCCAAATGAATAACTAGAACTATCGCTGAATGCGATTCATACCCCCACCAATGTCCTTGACAGAAGACAACTTGGAAAAGTGGTTAAGGGAATAACTTAAGTGGCACAAATACATAAAAAGAAATTATCTCTGGTGAAAAAAAGACTTATTGTACAGGTAATAGTAAAAATATCTATTATCAAATCATGTTCGAAACAGTTACAAATAACCTTTCATTTTCCCAATATACTAAACTTTTTATAAGTCAATTTTTGACCTTCAAGTGTGGCCTTGACCTTCAGCTGGCACAAGGGTAAGATGGGTTCTGCACATCGCCCAATTGGAGTGAACATTTGAGTAAAGTTTGAAGAAAATCCTTCCATTAGTATAGAATTTATAGAGCGGACACAACATATTGTCTAGTATTGATTGTATGTAAATTTAAAGACTAAAAAAGGGGCATAATTTTGTCAACATCCAATACAGAGTTATGAAACTTGACCTGCATATCGTAATTGTGACACCTCATATATCTTTTAAGTTTCAAGCAAATACCTATGCTAGTTTGCGAAATATTCAAGAACATGTTTTAATCTAAGAACATTTTCTAAGTCAATTTTTGACCTTCAAGTCTGACCTTGACCTTTAGCCTGCACAAAGGTGACATGGATTCTGCACATAACCTTGTTTAGGTGAACATTTGAGAAAAGTTTGAAGAAAATTCTTCCATTAGTATAGGATTTATAGAGCTGACACAACATATTGTCTAGTATGTGATTGTATGTAAATTTGAAGATTAAAAAGGGGCATAACTTTGTTAAAATGCAATACAGAGTTATGAAACTTGACCAGCATATCTTAATTGTGACACTTCATTCATATTTTAAGTTTCAAGCAAATAGCTTTCCTAGATTCAGAAATATTCAGATATATGTTAAAATTAAAGAACATTTTCTAAGTCAATTTTTGACCTTCAAGTGTGACCTTGACCTTAAACCGGCAAAAGAGTGACATGGGTTCTGCACATAACCTTGTTGAGGTGAGCATTTGAGCCAAGTTTGAAGAAAATCTTTCAATAAGTGTAGGACTTACAGAGCGGACACGACATACTGTGTAATATTTGATTGTTTGATATTTGACCTTCAATTGTGACCTTGACCTTGAGCTGACAAATGGGCAACATGGGTTCTGCACATCCCATTGTTGAAATGAACATTTGAGCCAAGTTTGAAGAAAATCTTTCAATTAGTGTAGGACTTACAGAGCGGACACGACATATTGTGTAATATTTGATTGTTTGATATTTGACCTTCAATTGTGACCTTGACCTTAAAATGACACATGGGCAACATGAGTTCTGCACATCCCCTTGTTGAGGTGAACATTTTAGCCAAGTTTGAAGAAAATCTTTCAATTATTGTAGGACCTACAGAGCGGACACGACATACTCTCTAATATATGATTGTGTTTGATATTTGACCTTCAATTGTGACCTTGACCTTGAGCTGACACATGGGCAACATGGGCTCTGCACATCCCCTTGCTGAGGTGAACATTTGAGCCAAGTTTGAAGAAAATCCTTCAAGTGGTATAGGAGTTATAGAGCGGACACGAAAATGGAGACGGACGGACGGACCGACCGTCTGACCGACCGACTGACCGACCGACGCGACAAAGCGAATCCATTATAGCCCCCCCCCCACATTTTGTGGTGGGGGTATAATTAAAAAGAGGGCCATCATGGCCCAAGATCGCTCCCCTGATCCATCAACCCATCTAAGCAATGTCTTAGATAAGCATCCTGGCCAAGTTTGATGACAATTGAGTCAAAAATGTTACCTCTAGTGTGTAAAAAAGGTTTTTCCATATTTTTGGGCAATGTGACCTAGTTTTTTACCAGAGACGACCCATATTCAAACTTGACCTAGAAATCATCAAAGCAACCTTTCTGACCAATTTCCAAAAAATTTGGATCAAAACTGAAGCTACTAGAATGTTAACAAGCTTTTTGTATTTTTAGCTCATGTAACCTAGTTTTTGACCGGAGATGACCCATCTTCGAACTTGACCTAGAAATCATCAAAACAACCTTCCTGACAAATTTACAGACTATTTAGATTAAAACTGCAGCCACTAGAGTGTTAACAAGATTTTTCAATTTTTAGCTCCTGTGACCTAGTTTTTGACCAGATATGACCCATCTTCGAGCTTGACCTAGAAATCATCTAAACAACCTTCTTTACAAATTTACCAAAACTGCAGCCACTAGTGTTAACAAGCATTTTCTATTTTTAGCTCATATGACCTAGTTTTTGACAGGAGATGACCCATATTCGAACTTGACCTAGAAATCATCAAAATAACTTTCTTGAAAAATTTCAAGAATATTTTTATTAAAACTGCAGCGACTAGAATGTTAACAAGATTTTTCTATTTTATGCTCCTGTGACCTAGTTAATAACCGGAGATGACACATCTTCGAACTTGACCTAGAAACCATCAAAACAACCTTCTAGACAAATTTACATAATATTTGGATCAAAACTGCAGCCACTAATATGTTAACAAGCTTTTTCTATTTTTAGCTCCTGTGACCTAGTTTTTGCCTGGAGATGACACATCTTCGATCTTGATCTTGAAATCATCAAAACACCCTTCTTCACAATTTACAGAATATTTGGATCAAAACTGCAGCCACTAGAGTGTTAACAATATTTTTCTATTTTTAGCTCTTGTGACATAATTTTTTTAGCTCCTGTGACCTAGTTTTTGACAGGAGATGACCCATATTGGAACTTGACCTAGAAATCATCAAAACAACCTTCTTGACAAATTTCAAGAATATTTTAATCAAAACTGCAGCAACTAGAATGTTTAAACAACCTTTATCATTTTATGCTCCAGTGACCTAGTTTATGACCTTGTTTATGACCGGAGATGACCCATATTCAAACTTTACCGGGAAATCATCAAAACAACTTTCCTGCCAAATTTCCAGAATATTTGGATCGAATCTGCAGTCACTAGAGTGTTAAAGAGCTCGTTCTATTTTTAGCTCCTGTGATCTTTTTTTTTTACCGAAGTTGACCCATATTCGAACTTGACCTAGAAATCATCAAAACAACCTCCTTGACTGATTTCAATAATATTTGGATCAAAACTGCAGCCACTAGAGTGTTAACAAGCTTTTTACTTTTTTTAGATCCTGTGATCTAGTTTTTGACAGGAGATAACTCATCTTGGAACTCGATCTGTATTTCATTGAGACAAACATTCTGACAAAGTTTGATGATGATCCAATTAACTGTGACAGCTAGAGTGTTAACAACCCAATTGTTGACAAAGAATGACACACGACGACGGACGGCGGACATAGCCCCATCACTATACCTCGAGCTAAATAACAATACATTAACTGGGATTTTGTCACAAAAACATATGTTTCCCAAAACAATGTATGGTACTGATCACAACTGTGAATTTAGGTCAAAATCCTACAAGCAGTTTGACCTGTGAAAGCCAGACAAGATATTTCTATGTATAGATCTGGAGGCCATTTTGTGCAGTGAAGCAGAACCTGCCCGCCATGTGCACTTCTAGGGAGAGTACTGATCACACCTGTATAGTTTCACTTAATTCCAACAGGCAGTTCAACTTGTGAAAGCCGGACAAGATTTTTCTATTTATAACTCTTGCGACCATTTTGTGCAGAGGAGGGAAACATTCCCACAATATGTACAACTAGGGATGGTACTGATCATTCCTGTGAATTTTCATTGAAATCACACCAGCAGTTGGACCTGTGAAAGCCGGACAAGATCTTTCTATTCATAGCTCTGGCGTCCATTTTGTGCAGCAAAGCCAAACATACCTGCGATATACACACTTAGGAATGGTACTGATCACTCCTGTGAAGTTTCACTGAAATCCGGCCAGCAGTTTGACCTGTGAAAGCCGAACAAGGGGATTGCAGACAGACGGCAATAACAGTTTGTTTTAGGAGACATCATTTGCAGAGACATAATTCATGTGATGGATCAATTCAGTTTCAACTTCAATTTTACAGCAACAAATCTGAATTGTACACTTAATGGACTATTAAATGGCTCTGTTGACATTACCTGTTTAACCTCCTCTATGACAGGTGGTGATACTCCAACCCGTTTACGTAGATCGTTTAGTGATGGCTGGTCCTTTGATGTAATTCTGGGTCTGTCAGTCAGTCCCTGTAAAGATTTCAAGAATTCATTAGTATTTTTCTACACAAGTCTATATAAAGTAATTGCCCCTGAGGTGGAGCCATTATTGACCTCAGGGGCATGATATATATCAACGTTGTAGAAGTTCACAAGACAATGTTACATGCCAAATATTTAACCTTTGAACATAGTAGTTTCATGCAAAAACATTAATTATGTTTTCCTATATAATACATTTTCCTGTATAAGCCTTGTCCCGGTAAGGCTGAACATTTTTCTCAACCTGTGACAATAGGAATCGGCGCATAAATTTTTTAATTTAATGACCAAGTGTGACCTTTACTTGAAGAAGCCCAAACCTACAATTTATAAATGACATCAGTCAATGAATAAAGGGTGCTAAAATACATTTCAATACTGCTGACCTTGATCTAAGAACCTCTTATCTCCATCCAAAGGTAGAGGACCACACAAAATATTTTACTAGTAAATTTGAAATTACTACTATGAAGGTTTATATAAACTAAGTAACCTCCAGGGCATGATTTGCACAAGAGCCGGTTGAACTGGGTTATGCTCCCCAAATAGGTTTTGGACACAGGAAGGTATACCTCTTGTAGTGTCAGAGTTATGTCACAGACAAAGTTCAAAGTGTAAAAACAACCCAAATATTGCGCGCAACACATTGTCTCAATAATTATGGTGATCATTTCTGTGAAATAGTTTTAAAATCCCACTTCTAATAACGAAATTATGGGCTGGACATGCTTTTGCTGCAAGGTCATGCTGTGACCTTGACCTTCAAGGTAGCCACCTAAATGTTGCGCGTGACACGTCATCTCAATATGGTGATCATTTCAGTGAAATAGTTGTAAAATCCAACTTCAAATCACAAAGTTATGGGCTGGACAAGATTTTACTGCAAGGTCATGCTGTGACCTTGACCTTCAAGGTAGCGACCGAAATGTTGCGGGTGACGCGTCGTCTCAATATGGTGATCATTTCTGTGAAATAGTTGTAAAATCCAACTTCAAATAATGAAGTTATGGACTAGACACGATCTTGCTGCAAGGTCATACTGTGTCCTTGACCTTCAAGGTAGCGACCCAAATTTGCTCACAACACGTCGTCTCAATATGGTGATCATTTCTGTGAAATAGTTTTAAAATCCGACTTCAAATAACAAAGTTATGGGTTGGACACGATTTTGCTGCAAGGTCATGCTGTGACCTTGACCTTCAAGGTAGTGACCCAAATGTTGCGTGCGACACGTTGTTTTAATAAGGTGATCATTTCTGTGAAATAGTTTTAAAATCGACTTCAAATAATGAAGTTAGGGACTGGACACGATTTTGCTGCAAGGTCATGCTGTGACCTTGACCTTCAAGGTAACGACCCAAATGTTGCGCACGACACATCGTTTCCATATGGTGATCATTTCTGTGAAAAGGTTTTAAAAATCTGACTTCAAATAACAAAGATATGGACCGGACACGAATTACGGATGTACGTACGTACGGACGGACTGACGGACAGACGACCCGATGACTATATGCTCCGCCGAAATTTTTCGGGAAGCATAATAACTTTTATAGAGGACCATGAGGTGATGCAAAATATCTAAACTCTGTGCATTGTTCATGCAGAGAAGACATTTTTAAGACATTTAATTAAACAAGTCTATGTGAAGTAAATGATCCCCAGGGTGTTGCCATTTTTTACCTCTTGGGCATGACTTGTTACTTTTGTAGAAGCAATGCTTGTTACATTACAAATGTCTGAGCTCTTGGCATTTGTTTCACAAAAGAAAAATTTCTTGTACAAGACTTTATAAACTAAGTGACCCCAAGCGTTTATAAAACTTTGTCTAAATCCCCTTCAGCGGTCATGAATGTGTACTTTTTGACCTTTTACCAACCATGACCTTGATGTTGTGCCTTGCATATCATAAGCACATAGTGGTATCTTTTGTGCCAAGTAATTTTAAAACCTTTGACTTGTCAGTAAGTTGTAGAGCTGACATGAAATATAGATGTATTTATAAACTGGACCTTAAAGTATGACCCTGACCTTTAGTTTTATGACTTGATCATTGTGCTCTGCCAATGGTGTCATAATGGTGATCATTTCTGCCAAGTTATCTTAAAAACATTGCTGCTGTTTAAATGTTATGGACTGACACAAAATGTAGACTTTCTAACATTTACCTGACTTATTGGGAAGCAATTTAGTTATTGCACTCTGTACTTCATCTCATTATGGTCGTCACCTGTGCAAAGTTGTTTAAAAAAAATTTCAGCGGTTTAAAAGTTATGGAGCCGATAGAAATATAGACTTTTAACACTTGACCTTTAAGTATGACCTTGACCTTTGGACCTTTGAATTTTTCAGAAAATCCCTAGTATATTCTGGCCCTGAATTATGGAATAATATCCCTCTTAACATAAGATTATCTGGAACAGTTAGGAATTTCAAGCTTCATATCTATCTTGGTATTTCTCATCATTCAATTAATCATTTTATAAAAGATTTGATGTAACACCTACTTTGTTTAATTTAATATGTACTTCTTTGACAAGTGTTATGCTATGAATGGATTGTAAATATTATCATGTATTTCTTGTTCTAATAATTTCAATGTAAATTGTACCACATTGTTGTTTCCATATTATTGTAGTATTGTAGTGGTATATATTGTAAATTATGTTTTTCTTAGAGGCCCATATGGAAGATTGGGAAACATTTACTTTACTTTACTTTACCTTACCTTACCTTACCTTACCTTACCTTACCTTACTTTACCTTACCTTACTTACTTACTTACACTCAAAATGGAAAACTGCCTATTTATTAACAGTTATAATTTACCAAATTTCAAAAATTATTATTTTTAAACACCTACAGTTTTCTTTTGGTCAAAATTAGCCAAGTTCTGAGCAGGATGTAGAAATACATTTTGTAAACTTTCCATTTGTGCTTCCACCAGTTTATTGCAAAACGCCCAACATTCCTGAAAACAAATCAATCATTGTCTAAATTTAGGGTCAGTTGCATACATGTCAGACATCTGTCTTAACAATGCAAAGATACATATATATAATATGAATATTACCGTATATGTGTTTTTTTCTGCGGGCTCCAAATTCTGCCAAATTTTGGCATGTTTTTATTTCTGCGGACTTAATTTCTGCGGCACATTCTTTGGAAAAAACATGATTTAAATTCTGCGGCTCATCTTATCAAAGTCTAAGTCACATTACTCTTCCTATTTTATTTGCATGTACACATTCGCATTAAAATTTTGTTCATCATCGTTACCACAAAATTATATAGTAATTGCAAACAATGATATTGTTTACTTGCAAACAAATATAATGCTCAACAATAGACAGTATGCATCTTTTGATCAGCGTGAAATGACGTATGAAAAATATACCCTTTAGTATCTTTAATTTCATAAAATTGATAAAAGTTAATCGTAAATCAGTCAACAATTAATGTAAATGACGATTATTTAGCAGTATAAAGGTTAAAATAGTTTTAATGATTTAGTGGTAAACAAACCTTTTAGCGTACAGGCAAACACTATGATGTTTTAATATCTTTATTCATAAATTGGCATAATTAACAATAGGTACATCCTTACAAGCACATATTACATGCTTAGCCGAAAGCAATTTTAAATAACTCAATTACCCGCTAACCGTTATAATCCTATAGTCGTTATTACTTTAGAGGAAACAGGTCATCATGTGGGAGACATATCGTTAAAAACAACATGGAGAAATATTCTGCGGTTTTTATTTCTGCGGTGCTGAAATTGACCACAGAAAACGCAGAAATAAAGAAAATACCACTTATACGGTATATGATGTTTCGATCTTTTTTTGAAACAAGAAAAGGTATGTCAGCTCAACTTTTGACTCTGTCATTGTGACCCAAAATAAATCAGGCTATAACAGTTACAAGAGCAATGCATGTGATGTTAACACTTGTATGTTAAAATTTCTAAGTTAAAAGAGGCCTATCTGCAAATTCACTGCTTTAAGACTTACGCTGCTTGTCTAAAATCTGCACCTTGTCATGAGAAGCATTTCAATATTAAAGACAACAACAATTATGTTGAAGCAATCATAATAGCTCACATTTTTCTTCAAACAGACAGGCTTAACAATCATTTTACGGAATATGCAAAACAATATCAATGTATACCACCTAGTGTTGTTTCAAACAATTCTTGTTTGGATGAATTAATGAGAACAGCATTTTATTCAACAATGTTGATACAAATAGTATTATACATTACTTGAAGAAGGCGTAGTAGAACATTTATGGCATCTCTTAATGGTACGCCTAGCTTCTTATCAGTCAAACTTTCAAAGGCATTAGTCCAATCATCATCGTATAACTGGCCAAACTTCTCCGACACCTTCATTGCTCTGTAAGGATCAAGAAAGTCAGCTATATCAGCATTCTGCTCTTGTAACTTCTTACCAGCCAGCTTACTAAACCTGTGTACAAAAAGAAAAGTACACCAATGTTACTAAAATTCATTAAAAATTAGCATTTACTGGTCAACATGACAAGTATAAAGGTATTTTTTTCAAGAACCTTTCTGGAAATGTAGCAAATTTAGATCATAGCAACATTGTACTGAAGTTACCACTTTGAAGAATTTCAGGCATGCTCAGGAACAGACGAGTGGTATAACAAAATATCCAGATCCCCTAAAAGCAGGGCCAAAGCCTAATTGTTCTTATTTCTAAAGGCAAGTGCATCATATTAAAAAGATCGTATAATACTAGTGAAGATTTCACTAATAAAACATCATTTTCTTGAACAGAATTTACATAATATTTTGTATTTGTCATTGACTGTCAAGGTGACTTTTATGATTCAATGGCATACATAATTTATACAACATGTAGATGGTGCCATTACTGTTGCTTTGTCCGAGTACATGAAACCTTCCACCGAGTCAGGCAAAATCAATGGCTGACCTTGACTGTCAATGTCTTTTTTAGGTCATTGTCCTATTTAAATTATTCAACAAATTAGTTTTGTCATAAATATATTCTCCAAGTTTAACCCTTTCCCTCATGAGCATATTGTGAAAAATGGCCGTTTTCATTGAAAAGTCTCCTGTTACAAGTTCAAACTGCTATGAAACTATGAAAAATGCTTCAATACTAACCAAACTTGGCACAAATGTTGACTGGACCAGTGTCTTTGTAATGACATGCTCAGTTTTAAATTTCCTGTTACCATGGCAACGAGGGGACATCTCAAAATTGCCAAAAATCACTATTTTGCCGTAATTTTTTCCATCAAATATTTATTTCAAAGTGCTGCAATTTCTCAAGGGATTAAAAAAGAGTCGAAGGCTTTTCAGTGGTGGTTACACATTACCTTATGATCGACCTGGGGTCATTTTTAGCCTCCCTCAAGTCCAAATTTTTCTTGGAAATAAGGGGGACTACCGCCCCCCCTTTAAACCCCCCAAACAGAAAGGGGGACATCCCCCTTCTGGCAACGCCCTAATGTATCGTTTGGATGGGGCGTCGCCAAAAAAGTGCTCACTTTTTTAGCAACATTTCACAAGCGAAAACTTGTGTTTTGGGTCCAAATAGGACATTTTTTCACTATTTGAGACCTAAAAGAGGGGGGGGGTCGAAAGTGCGTTGTTTCGCGTATATATGAGGTAAAGGGTTAAATCATATCTGTAAATATATAACAAAGTTGTCACAATTTAAGCAAAATTCAATAAATTTACCTTGAGAATCAAGATCATTCAAATTTATGGTCATACTTTAACTATACAATATGTTGGTTTAGTCTTAAGTGTTCTTTTGACATGAAACGGATAAAATCCTTTATTAAATAACAAGGTTATGACAATTTTAGAAAATATCAATACTATGACCTTGAAGGCCAAGGTCTCTTTAAGGTCAAGGTTATATTTACATTATGTTGTATTTCATGTTTGTCATAAGTATTCAAGTATAAATAACAAAGCTATTACAATCTTTGCAAAACCAATAATTTGACCTTGGTTGTCAATGTCATTTAAAGGTCAAGGTTATTTTTAGTCATTAACATACGGATGTATCTATTTTATTAATGTTATCTAGTCCAAGTATAAATTAAGTCTGTGAATAACTATTAAAGTTATCACAATCTACGCAAAATTTAATATTTTTTACCTTGACATTCACTTTTGCTGTCAAGGTCATATTTGTACTATTCAAAGTCAGTTCTATCTTAAGTGTAGTTTTGAAATCAAATTCATGAACAATAAACAAAGCAACACTAAATATAGACCATGCCATTTAAAAGTCAATGGTATATTGAAATCATCCAATATGTCAATTTTTTCATCAGTGTTCTTTTAATCTAGGATGAATGTAATTTATCAATAAGTAACATAGTTATTACAATTTAAGCAAAATATATATCTTGTTTGACCTTGACAGTCAAGGTGTTATTCAAGGTCAAGGTCATGTTTGAATTAATCCTTTGCCTATGTATGAATCAAAACCTTAAATAAATAACAAAGTTGTGGCAAATTTTCGCAAAGCTCAAAAACTTGGCAAGGAATGTAAATTAAGTTTCTTGGGAATGTTTTAGTGGTTTCATATTTAATTCCATTCATATGTAAACCCTGTGACCGACATATGCATCAGAGTTAAATCATTTGTACAGTTAATGTAGAGTATCACCCAGAAGCTTGCAAGATAAAATAATGTAATAAATTCTGTACTAAAAATACACTAATTCGATATCCTCTGTATACTATATGTTTTCCCTAAATGCATAATGAAGTTGTTCCTTTTGAAACTAGATTTTACTGAATTCTAGGTTGATACATTGTCCCCTTAGTGCAGAAACAGCTAATCCCCTCTTAAATCTGACAGTCCCAAGTTTGCCCATAACTGCACTAAGGTGATGATGTTATTAATACGTTTACAGCTGTGAAGAGTTTGTTAAGAACCAAATGCTGTTATTGATACTAGATCTGAAAGAGTCATCAACTTTTAAAAAAATCTTAGAATGGTCTGAATACTTCTAACTTACCTGTCTCGCAAATTATCTCGTTCTGCTAAGAGTTTTTTGTACTGGTCATCAGCTTTCATTTTCTCTTCTAGAAGAATTCTTTGCATGTGTTCCAAATTCTTGTTTGCCTGTTGTTCCATATGATATTTCTGTTTATCAAGATTTTTATATGCAGCTTCAAGTTTTTTATTTGCAGCATCTAATTCTGCTATTCTTTTTTGATGTTCCTGACACTTAACAGAATCATCATTGACATGTTTCTCAAGCCTCTGAACCATGTCCGTAGCAGACTTTAGTTCATTTTCAACATCTGTTCTTATATTCTTTTCCTGTCCGAGACTATAGGTATAAAATAGAAAAATTCTTATTATTGTGCCTACCTTCATGAATATTGATAAAATAGCTATTTTTAAATGCTCTGTCATAACAGGGGTTATTCTCACACAAACTATAATAAGGTGTTATTCAAGGTCAAGGTCATGTTTAAATTAATCATTTGACTATGTATGAATCAAAACCTTAAATAAATAACAAAGTTGTGGCAAATTTTAGCAAAACTCAAAAACATGGCAAGGAATGTAAATTAAGTTTCTGGGGAAATGTTTTTAATGGTTTCATATTTAATTCCATTTATATGTAAACCCTGTGACCTACATATGCATCAGAGTTAAATCATTTGTACAGTTAATGTAGAGTATCACCCAGAAGCTTGCATGATAAAATAATGTCTTTAACTTGTTCAATAAATATTGTACTAAACCTACACTAATTCAATTTCCTCTGTATATTATATGTTTTCCCTAAATGCATAATGAAGTTGTTCCTTTTGAAACTAGATTTTACTGAATTCTAGGTTGATACATTGTCCCCTTAGTGCAGAAACAGCTAATCCCCTCTTAAATCTGACAGTCTCAAGTTTGCCCATAACTGCACTAAGGTGATGATGTTATTAATACGTTTACAGCTGTGAAGAGTTAGCTTATATGAAGCTTCAATATTTTTACATGTAGCTACTAATTCTGTGATTCTTTTTTTATGTTTCTCATTCTCAACAAAGGCACCATTGAGTTGAAACTCAAGGCTTGTAACACTGTCCCTATCAGACTTTAGATCAATTTCAACAGCTGTTGTTATCTTCTTCTCTTGTTCAAGACTATAGGTATAAGTAAAATACTAATTTATTATTTAAGAATGCATATGTTATTTAAGGAACTATGCACGGAAGGGCACCTGAGGTCTTCCTCCACCAGTAAAGCTGGAACGTCGCGATATGACCAATATTGTGTCGAGGTGACGTAAAACCCAAAAACAAAACAAACAAACAAACAAATTTAGCGAACTCTCTAGCATACTTTAGCTCGTTTTCAACATTTGTTCTTGTCTTGTTTTCCTTTTCAAAACTTTAGGTACAAAATAGAAATTTACCTTATTTTGACTTGCATTCATGAAATAGCGATAAAATAAATATATTTTCAGGTACACTCACTTCATATTAGCTTTCCTTCTACAATAAGTGTGATCTTGACCTTGAACAGGCATAGAGGCTGCGTGAGTTCTATACATCACTTTATTGCGGACATAGAATGAAAATAGAATTGTCTTTTGTTTGACCTTGGCTCTGAACCAGCATAATGTAGCTATCATTTATACACCTTGCCTAATGTTGAAGTGGTCATGTGGACCAAGTTTGAAGAAAATCCATGAAAAGTAAATGATTTAATGACCGGAAACTAAATTTGGAAAATGACAAACCATTGAACTGACAGACAAGCACTACAAAATGTTTCAGTAAAGCTTACCCACTTATTGGTAGGTAAAAAAATTTAAGGGATTTAACCATTATGTTATTATGTTTTCATCTCTTCAAAAAATCTTATAATTTTGTCATGTTAAGTATTTCCTATCTTTTTTGATTTCAAGAAATACTTGATACTGGTTTGAGGATAAGTTGTATTTGCAGTTGGTTACTTTTTTTTTCAATCATATATGTTTTAATCTTTTAATTAAAGACCCAATGCCTTCTGTTGCAAATAATAATTTCATCTGGGATTATCCTTTTTCTAGATTAACAATGATATTTTCTTTCCAAAGAAATATCATGTTCCTATATCTTGATTTAAGAATATCAATGTAATTTATGTTATCACTTTAAATCAAGTTTAGATAATCTGCTTTTATAGATTTACAATTTTATAATCATCAAAAAATGCATTAAGGTGACAAATTTCAATTATCACTTTTAATACCGAAATGTGTTTGTTTGCTTAGCAGTCTAATATAACTCTTTTGAACACCTTTCTAATGTTTGGAAAAACGATATAAGATGGTACAAATACATTGTTTTATCTAATTTGCCCGTCAATTGTTACAGGCGCTACATCCACTGTTGACACACTATCAGTATTTTGATTAATCTAAATACAATGTGACTTATCGGTTTAAAATGTCATTGCTCGTAATATTATACATAAATACATCTTTTAGGAATGTCTCCACATTATATTGTCATTAAGAATTGTTGGCTAATATGTTACAAATGACATAACGGTCAAACGCTTGATCAAGGGAATGGGAATGTGTGAAATAATAATTCGTTTGTTCCATAATATTATTGACAACACGTGATCTTAATGGACTCTAGTACGGATTCAGCTTGCTAAACAATCATCCTCGTATTTTTTATATACATCTTCGTATTTTTTTATATACATCCTCGTATTTTTAACTACATGTATTCCATATCAAAACAGCATTTTTGTTATGTGTACGCCTAAATGGCTGATGTCCAGGCGTACCTCAGAAATTTTTAAAATATGATTACGATAGTCTGCAGATGTTTTTTTTTCTTTATGGGTCAACTTAATAATCGGACGGATATTTAAATAGAGAAAAACAGAATCCCTAAAGAAAGCCCTACACAGCAAAATTGTAAAATGTTGCAGGCTCGGTTTGATTGAGCCTGTTCATTGACGGTAATGGTAATTGCAAGTTACCGGCCACGCCCCCTAGCACCGGCTTAAGCAGAATTCAACATTTAAAAACAAAAATGGTGAAATTTTGAATTTTGAAACATCCGCAGATAAATTAAAACATGTTTCTTTCATTGAGTGCTTTGAATATATTGTTCGCAAGTAAATTGAACACAGTACTAATGAACTGGCTACCAATATACATATCCCCCGATGAAAATACTTGTAATTATAATAATAGAAGTCAGAAAGGTCGGATCAATTTAAAAGAGTTATACTTTTCATTTAAACAGTCATTTATATCAATTAGCAATTCACGAACAAAAATATGTAATGTCCTGCTCTCATTTGTACATTTTACATTCATTTTTTTTGATAACTACTTTAATGAAGGCAACAGAGTGATGCTACTTGCTACATATCTGTACCTATGGTTGGAGAAAATGACTTTTAAGACAGACACGACCCCCCCCCCCTCTCTCTCTCTCTCTCTTCCCCACGGCATAGCCATTTTTCAATATAAGTGAGTTTTGTATCTATTGTTTGGTTCTTCTAGGTAAAATGTTAAATAATTTTTCAAATAACTAAGATCTTGGCATTGTAGCTTTACAAAGGAAGTATACAAGCAAATATTTTTACTATATAAAAAGCAATAACCCCGGGGCGGAACTAATATTGACCGACAAGCTCATATTTTAATGATATTTGTATAGACCCACTAGGCATTGTTACATACCTCATATCTTGGTCCTTGCCCTATGGTTTTCGAGTAGAGGTTTTTAAGTTATTTCTACATATACATTATGCAATATAACAAAACCCCATGAGCCCCGTGGTAGGGAATATTTTTGACCCCAGGACTATATTTTGAGAACACTTAACAGTGTTACCTACAAAAATTCTAAACTCTAACCGGAGGAAGTCTTTAATTTTTAACAACATGCATATACATATAAGGATAGCCTATTTTATCCCGAGGCGTGGGCAATTTTAATTAAACAACGTAGACTTACTTGATGACATTGCAAACCAAATAATTAAATACTAGCCCATTGCAGTTTTAAAGAAAGAGATTTTTAAAGTTTATTCTTTCTGCATGGAATGGAATTCTTTATACCAATTAAATAAAGCTCCATACCAGATAAAGCCCTGCTTAGTTTTAACAACATTTGCCAAATGGTTTAGGAGGAGATGATGATTTAAACAGTCAATGGAAGACACACTAGGGACGTCGGGCTTGGGCCGATCACAATTATAGCTAACATTGAGCTCAAGGTGACCAATGAATGTTTACAAAATGGCGAAAATTCAAACATAATGGAGAAGAAGAAAGTTAGGATTTTTGATAATTGCAAAACATTGACTAGAAAATAGAAAGTAATTTAATCATAATAAGCATTGCACCTGCTTGCATGCAAAAAACAAAAATTGCATAATAGATGGACAACAGATGAACAACAAAACATCACTCAAACAAATAACTCCACATTAGCACTATGTTTTAAAAATATTAACAATTCTTTTCAACAGCTTAAATAGTGTTAATAATTGAAAGCAGTCTGTCGCCTAATGTGATACAATTAATACTGTGAATTTAAACCAATATATCTTTTTTTTTGTTGTTTGTGTTGTTTTTTCAATTTACAACAACAGTTGAAATTAAAAGTAGGGGGACTATATGTTAAAAATTGTTATAAAAGTATGACAAACTATAACCATTATATACTACAATCCATAAATGTGCCAATCTTCCCTCCTTTCTCAGTGGTGAGGAGCGTAAATATGCAACCTTACGCAAAAATTTGTGAATATTTCCAAAGCTTACTGAAGGTCTCTGTGGAGATTTTGACCAGAAAAGAGAAAAAAGTATAATGCAAATGTAATGACTAAATTCTGCAATATCTCCAGGAATTTTATGATGCATTTCAGATCCTCAGGAAATATATTCAGGAAAATCAAAAGGATATCATTATTTCAATCATTTCATACGTTGAAAATATTAATAATGTATGACACATAATTACAAATGTAGTAGACTCACATTCACCACTGACCAGGTCACACCACACATTACTATGCACATTTATATTATGGTGTATGGAATCAAATTTGTTCTGATGTGTTTGCCACAAATTTAAGAGGTACAAGGAATAATCAAATACATAAAGGGTTAGAAATTAAGAAACCATATATTGAAATAAATTGGAACAGGTAAATGATAATATTATATCAAAACATTATATTCAGTCTACATTGCGGTGGACACAGTTTTTGCAACACGTGGTTCATCACATAATGAAACAATAAGAATATACATGTGAATGGGGCAAACGAAAATACGCCACAGTCAGGTGTGCATCAAAGTAATTTCAATTTTAAGTTGCGATTTAAAAAAAATACACATTCATACAATGTTTCTAGTGTAAATAAATTGGAATGATGTCGTTAGACAAGAGGGAGATTTGTAATCTCCATATGTAATTTACATCTACCATCATCAAATTAAAATATAACAACAAACACTGAAGTTGATTTAATAAACTAAAACGAGAAAAAATATGTGACATGTATTGATAACGCATTTGTTTTTTAAAGTCTGCATTGCAGTAGAAGAGCATGTGATTATCGTAGGCAGACACAAAATGGTACCACAACAGTGACATCACTCCTAACAACTTACAAGTACAAAACTGGCTGTCATACATGGATTATTGCACAAAACATATTTCACCTTTCAAAACGTTAAATATAATTCTGATATGCGAGTATCACATTCATACTTGCTATATGTTTCCGATAATATCGTTTTAGAAATAAAGGGAATCTACGTAAACCTTTAACAGTGTATAACAATAGAAAAATTACATTAACTGTAGAGTTCTGTGTGCCTTTACAAATTTTCGATTATCACTGTTCAGAACTATTAGGGGAGAATTGTGTAAGAGGCCGGAGATCTCAGTCGGTAGAGCCGCAGAACGGTATTCCGAAATTTATTTGAGTCACACGTGACTACAGTATATGGAACATTATATATAACTAAGGGTAGCCTATTAAAATTAGACTGAAATATATTTCCCTTACTAAAACATTATGTCCAATATATTGTGGCTATGTCTGCCCAATTAGTTTCCCTTACATATATAGAATGTTCTTTATACTGTGGCCATGTTTGACTTCTTTAGACTACCCTTACTAATATATATAATAATGTCCAATTTACTGTGGTCATGTGTGTTTCAAATGGGTTTCCCATACTTATATTTAACGTTCCATATAATATGGCAATAGGTTTGCCTTTCTTGTATATTTTGTTTCATATTTTAAATTTCGTTTGCTGTGTCCATTTGTGAGTCTAAAAGGTTACCAACACATATATATTTAAGTTTCATTTACAGTGGTCATGTATGACTTTAACAGGCTGCCCTTACCCATATTTTAAGTTTGATACACTATGCCCATTATGATTGTAACAGTATAGTATACTCATGAAATACCCATTGGATATTTAATATGCCATGCTATCTGTCAAATTTATGGAAATAACGTTTTTAAGCTCCCGATGATATTTTCAGGGAAGGAAAAATTGTTTTGGCA